AAGAGTAACAGTTTACAGTTTTCAGCAAGGGTCATTTCCTTTCCCTTTTAGATTTGAAAAAATGAGGTTTTTTCACATTTGGTTTGATTTACGAGTAAACGTGTTACCATGGTCATTCCGTGGCCGAATTTAATTAATCGATTCTTCTGCTTTCAGAACCCAGTGGCTCGTACGTGATCAACGACTTACACCCGTCAACGAAGTACGTCATTCGATGCTTTGGTGAAAACGAGGCCGGGGGATCACCGGTATCTGATGTTACCGCATATGAAACAGTGAAACCCAAAAGTACGTATTTTATGGATCGTCGGGATTGCTCTGTTGGCTAATATCATGTCTTCTCTTACTGTGCCGTTCTTCAGGTCCGGACATGCCTAAGTTTAGGCCGGTTAAGTCGCCGTGTTCCCCTCGCGAGTGTTTAGTCGAGTGGGAAGAGCCAAACGACGGCGGCTCTGACATAATTAAGTATCAGATTCAGTACCAGACGATTCAGAACGACGGTACGTCGGCTATTCCATCTGACAGCTACAGCTGGAGTTCGATCGACGCCGTTGCGCCTGCCGAAAAGTTCATTATGTTTACGGACCTGGAACCGAATGCGAACTACGTTATGCGGTTGCGTGCCCAAAACGACGAAGGCTTTAGCGACTGGGCCGAAACTTTCGTTAAAACATCCGGTACTGAAACCTGCTGCATACGTCAATGTTTTGTTCAAATATGGACATATGTAATTGCAAACAGGTTTTCCTCGTAAATCTTTATTTCTCCTACTCTCCTGCTTGCCGTCACTCATCAGTAGTACTTTAGGGACACGAGTTTGACCGCCAAACGTAAAACTGGTTTGTTTCAATAACCACTTGTCATTCTCTGGATGTATGCCTCTTAGTCCCACTGTCTCCTTGTTTCTAATGGTCTACACGGCTTAAACACAGGCAAGTCTCAGTGGTAAACAACACCTGCAACATGAAGTGTTTTCTTCGGTTTTATTTTCCACTGTTGTTACTGAATTAAGCGAGAAAGCGAATGTCGAATCATGATCGTTTTGCCACACACTGATTAGACAACTGGTTTTTTGTGGAGTGAAGTTGAGCTAAATTTATTAAATTCTTTCATTGGAATTTTAGTTTTCTTGCATTAGCCTTATACGAGGAGGTGATTCTGGCATCATTTAACACAATCGTGTGCGCATCGACAAAGGCTCCAATCGCGGTGTTAAATCTTGCGCTTTTTATAGATGATTGTTGTCATTCGTCAGATCCAGCCGTGTGGGCGGCATAACCACCCCCCGATTTCGCAGCTGTTTCTTTAATTCAGTCACGGTGTGGTTATTGTCTAAGCGTCAACTCAGAATGAAGAAACGCTTGTTGATGATCTCCTATATGCCTTAAGTTATTGTATCATATTTTCTTTCTAGAGAACCTCATATTTGAGATACCTTGACGTTGAATGTGTGCTAATTCCAGATAATGAAACAATTTGAATTCAAAGTTTCCTTCTTGATGTCTTAATCATTTCCTCGAGTGACACTTAAGAGTGACGGCAGGTCGAACAAGCGATTCATAAATCGCCTAATGTGCAATAATTATCATTCTCTACGAACTTGCCCTCATATCTTTCTGTGAGTACTCTAGATGTTAACTCGTTCGACCCGTATTTAAAATCTTTGAAATATGGCTACTTCAAAATTTTATTGTGACAAGCTTTAACGATATTTTAAATACTGTAATACAAGTTAATATCATTAATGATCACCTCCTTTTTCAAACCGGAACCACAGCTACAGTGATATGGACACTGAATCAGAATGTAATGTGCATGATTTTGGCGGATGTCCGCGCTCACTAGACGTCTTGGATTGAACGTCTTTCTGCCCTTCGTTTCGGTCGAATAGGGTTGCAAGTGATCGTTCTGTGAAGCTTCGCCGGCTCAGATTTTTCTCGGCGAGCTCGCTCACCGCCACCTCTTTTCCGATGATTTAAGATTTATACTTAATCCATCTTCAGTAATAAAACTGCATAAACACTTACATCAAGCGCATCAGCGAATACTATGCATTTTTATGTTTAGGCTTAGGTAACTGGAGAGTTCTGTTACTACGACTTAGGCTTATACATTCTATGTGATTCACTCAATGATTACCTTATTGTTTTGTTTTTCTTGTCTTAACTTTAGTTTTAATGACTGTTTCAAACATAGAAGTACCACTGGAGAGTGCTGCCGGAATCAGCACTGGTGGAATTGTTGCCATCGTAGTTATCATCGTTTTGCTGTCCATC